GGCATCCGTTTTCTAATCTTAAAGACCACAGCTCTGATTGCTTGCAGAACATGCTGAAAGATCCATCTGTCTTTCTTCTAATGATCAGTCTTTACTACAGCATTACTCTGGGATAGGCTAGTTGAGATGAAACGCCCTTGCAGCAAAGTACACTGCCTCTCTACTGTATTTGGGTAACTGCCTGCAACAGTGCTGGGAAGGCTTTCATCCTAGGATGAACTGAAGAAGGAAGAGCCAGGACAGGGTAAGACACACTGTGCTGTTAGTTATTGAATCTTGGAATTTGTTTATGGGTGCTTGCTTTACATAGTATATTCCAGAACAGCTGTTTGTGGCACTGAGCTAAGGAATATACATTATGTTATATGAATATACATTTTATGTAAAGTATATTACATAAGTCAACATGGAAGCTGGAGTAGTTCTAGAGATGAAAGCAAATAGCATTCAATGAGAACATTTAGAACTCCATTGTAATAAGATGGTAAACCACAAAGTGATTCATATTTACACCCAAATGACTGATCTGTTTCTCCATTTCTTTCGTCTCATTAAGTACACCCCAGACGGTAATCCATGTTTACCTGAATTTCAGAGATTATTAACTCTGAACCTCAGCTTTACCATAGTGTTTATGTCAGCTGCTTCTTCTGCTGGCTGTGTGGATAAATAACTTGTTTTGGTGGAGACACTGGTCAAGACTGTGGGAAGGCAGTAGGAACAGAACAGGTGAATACAGAGCTTAAATGCGGAGTCAGTGATCGTGACTTGAAGCTCAGAGGGGAGATACAGATACACCAGTAGCCAGTTGGAATTGTCAGATAACAGTATTGGAGTTTGTTTAGTTTGTGTTCTTGCTGCAACACAGAGTAGCTTGGTAGGCTAAAGTCTACTCTGTAGCCACCCCTGTTATTCTGGGTTCAGAAGTGCATTCAGGCCTGGGTTATAGCCTTTCATGTAGGAAGAAGAGGAGCAAGCATAACATCTATTCTGGACTCTAACCTGATTCGGGGAGGGGGGGGAGAGAGCGAGCGAACGTGTGTGTGTGTGTGTGTGTGTGTGTGTGTATGTGTTCAGTTCATTGTCGGGATGAGGATGGGGGTTGATTGTTGGTCCTTCCAAGTGTGTACATTCTCTTGCTGGTTACTTGCATGTTTTCAGATCCATGGTCACTGATCTGAAAAAAGCAGAACATCTTGATCTCCAAGATGGCCATTTGGAATTGGGCTTAGAAAAAGCTTTTGATTTCATTTGTTTTAAAGTCCATAGCAAGAAAATACGAAAGGGCCTTCAGTGCTAGCTTTATAGCCATCCATATGTAACCAGTGTGGATGTAAGGAAGACTTTAGGGCTTTGCTTAAAATGTTAAATATACTTTTCTTTAGAAAGAGATGAGAAATTATCTGTGTAGAAAATGGAATTTAAAGTAATACTGATACAATATATGAGCAAGTGAAGCTCTTTGAGGGACTTGATTTCAGCCTGTGAAATATGTATTAGAACCCTGAAAAGCTGGTGTCTCCTATTGCAGTTTCACATTTGTTAGCCTGCACTGATCTACTCTTAACTGCTTTGTACTCACGAGCTGGAGATCCTGTGAAGTTTTGTTTTTCTGAGAAGTGTAGTTATCCAGAAATGCTGCATTCAGCCTTGTTGACTGAAGCAGTATAACCTGTGCTTCTGACAAGGGAGTTTATGGGTGGCATTGACATTGCATTCATTTACAGCAGAATAGACCACTGATGTGTGCTCAGTAGCAGGAGTTTGCTTTCAATAGAGTAAATCAAAATACCCATAAGTTCACACATAATTAGAAACTTCCAAATAGACAGCGAGGCTTCTTTGCAACCCCATCATTACTTCTTGCTTGTGAGGGCTTTAATGCTAGCTTAACCTACGGATTATTTTGTGTGCCAAGTTAGTAGGTGTAGGTGCGTGTGTTTACTTAAATACATTCTGAACTGCTTTTGGCAGGTTGCTAAATGATTTAATATTGGGTTACGTGAACATACAGAGGATGCTGTTTCATTAATGCAGTTGACCTGACAGTGTGTATATAATATGCACATGGAATATTTTGTGACTGTATACTTTAAGACTGTTTATGTATGTCTGTATTGCATAACAATAATTTCTTTGGAGAATATATAGACATACTATAAACACTGAATGAGTTGCACTTGTCCTTGGAGGGAAGTGTGGCAAAAGAAAAGAGAAAAGAGCTATTGACTAAAGCAAGGAAATGAGCATAAAAAAAAGAACAGAGAAACTTCTATGACAGAAACAGAATCTAACCTGTCAAAGTAGTTCTCACACCAAGAAATCCATTTCAAACCATAAGCACTACCACCTCTTTGTGCATGACAGCCAGCTACCTGCGTAAAAGCTGAGTAGAAAAGTTGGAAGAGAATAATGAAGTTGACAAACCTTGTTCAGGTCTTCGTGGGGTTGTTGTTTTTTTGTACCCTCTAAGGAAAGTAAGCTATTAAATGGGCAAAAGGAGGAAAATACAAATATATGAAAGTTTAAACAATATATAAAGTATATTAAAAAGTGAATATTAATAGGAAAAGTAAGCAGCAGAGGGATTTCTTGATTTAAGTAATAACTTCCCCATTCTGACTGGGAACCGAGATACCAGGAAAATTTCCCTTCCAGTTTGTTGGGAGAGCTTATTCTCACATGTTCTTTGGTGATTTCAAAAATCTGAAAAAACAGCTTGTCCAAATCTTTAATTAGAGACAGCTTGCTTTGCTTCTTCAAGTTTTCATTGCTTTTGAAACTGATATGACACTTTTTTTTGGTCAAAGGAAATTTGCTTTTGAAACTGATATGACACTTTTTCTTGGTCAAAGGAAATACTGAATTTAAAGTAGAAAACCACAGTAAATTATCAACTTGTTTTAGTAATAGTAACATTTAAATATCAGGCATTTTTTTTCTGAGCAAAATAAACTTAGAAGGCAAACACAAGTCAAGGTTAAACTCTGTAAACCTCCCTGCTTGCTTGTTTTACATCAATCCATCACTCTCTATTGACTTTCTAAATCAACAGCCTGGTAGAAGAATTGTGGAGTCATAGTTTCTCTCATATTCAGATGTGGTAAGCCAATGATTAACTACCCCACCCCATACTTGAGGTGCCAACATTGAGTAAAAAAATACAGGAAATTGCTGAAGGGGAAGAAGAGACTGTGCTGTATGTGTGCCTGTTCGAAGGAGGAAATTAGAACTTAAAAGCTGTTGTCTTTTTTCCGATTGTTGCCTTCTGAGCACATGCTATGCGGTTTCTTTGAGTTGCTGTGTAAGATTTGTGGTCCTACAGGTGACTATGTTGAAAAGTCTAGGCATCTTTATGCCTGGATCAGGATCTTAAGTTACACATAAATGTGATCTTCATAGCTACTGTCTAATTTTGTGTTGTAAGACTCTTAGGCAGCATTTTGGTTGATGTTCTTTATCTTTGCACTGGATATTTGAAGTGTCACTGATTATACCAAGAAAACGGAACAGTTCAAATGTGACTGTGTAGACATAATCTAAATACACAGACCAGCTCTGGTAGAGATTCATTGCCTTTATATGGATAGTTGATTGTGATTGTTGCTGTGCAATTGAATTACATTAACTTTATTTTACTTTACTTTAGAGCTTCTTGTGTGTTACTTACCTTCTAAAGACCTTTTTCAGTGGTGAAACAATGTGTTAGGATAGAGGGAGGACATATTTTGGGATCAGGGCATCAGATAAGATGCAGGGCTTTGTTGTTCAAAGCAAAGGTGAGGAAGTCCCAATAATACAGTCTTTATGCCACATGACTAGTCTCTTGGCCTTGCTATGAGGTGGTATTTTCATGAAAAGATCTGTATTATAAGTAGCATGAAAAAGCATCTTTGGAATTTGGGATGATCTGCATTTTAGTTTGTCTGATAAAAAGTAAAAAAAGAAATTAATCACCGTATGATTGTTGTGTATTCTGGAGCCAGATGATGAGCATATTGGGAGGGGGAAGAGTTTTATAAAGCTCCATTAGTAATAATTATGCATATTTCCTTGTTCCATAGCAAATGTTTAGCAGAATTTGTAATAGGCTTCCTGTTTGACAGACTTTGGATTTCTTTCAGATGAGAGGTGAAAGTAGTTCCTATTTTGTTCTTCTGCACTGTTTACACCACATGCAGTCCTGAGTGTGGCCTCTTGCATTCCAAGTGTGTTACGCATTGCTGAGCCTGTCCCTGCGTCACTTAGTAACAGGGCTCCTGTCCCCAGCCATGATGTCAGGATGTATTATTGGAAACGAGGCAGTTTTCAGTAAGGAAGCTGACTCCCTTTGGAAAGACGACCAGCTGTCTTCAGCTTAAACTATTGCTGTCTTTTGATGTTTATTGGGTACTGCCTTAGCAATACTAAAAATAGTTGATCAGAATAAAGAACACCTGGGAATACAAACTACAGTGTTTGTGTCTTTCTCCCCTCCTGCATTACTAATCAGGAGAGTGAAGGGAAGAACTGGAAAGTTTAGGCTAATTTTCAGCTTATTAGAAGCTTATTCAGGCTATACTACTTGGAGCCTTACTTTGTGCTAGTCAAGCACTGAAAAGAAGGCTTATCTTCAAATTGCATGAATTTTGAAAGAATGGACACAGTCAGCGCTGACAGCAGTTTGAATTGCCAGCCTTTTAACAGATATCTGCTGAGAACTTACCAATGATTTTCTTCTCTTAGAAAGTTTCCACATTAGCCAAATGTTTGTGTTTCTTGGAGGATTTAATTAATAATGCATGGCTGACATCAGAACCACAGCTTTCTGTATTCAGTATTCGAGCATTCTGCAAAACCTTGTTTCTTTCTTCCTTTTTTTTTTTTTAACATGCCAAGTCTGTATTTGATCATTTGGAAAAAAGTTTCCTATCTTTTAACTGAACCAGCTAAAAAGCACCACACCTTCTGTTAACTGCGCCATGGGAAAACTCATACTGAATGGTTGAAGTTTAGTAAAAATGGAAACAATGGAAAACAAGTCTCATAGTATAGTCTCACTCGTAAGTAGCATTTCCTCTGCCACATACATTTTGTGGAATAGAATAAGGTACTGTATTTTTAAAACCTGGCCTTTTCTTTTGTCTAGTGTATTGAGGTAGAACTTTGTGGAGTAGCAAGAAGCTCTTGCGGATCATAAAAACAGGAAATTACTTCAGAAGCTACTGTATGCATAGAATAACTCTTCAGTTTATTTGTAGAAGAATAATATAAACTCTATTCCCGATTAATGCAGAATCTGTTCCAATGAACTTTTAGGTATTCTAAGAAATAGATGTGTTTTAGACCATGTTAATAATGTAATTTTGCTACACTAGCCATTTTCAAGCTGTCTTTAAAAAAGGCACAATAGAATTTTTTTGGCTATATGCATTTTTTTTTAATTCTGAAATTTCTACTTTTAAAGTTCTGAGTGAATACACACAACCGCATGATAGATAAAGTTACTGCTGACGTTTTCAGAGAGAGAAGAAATAAAAGTACGTTGCACATGCAAGTGTATGTTGCTTGTTATTTAAGGTAACAATGTGGTTTGGTACTACTTCCCATCTCTGAATAACTTCTCTTGTGCAAACAGTATTGGCCAGTTGACATTTTGTATTCCTGAGGAAACTAAACATAAAATATTGTAGAAGAACTTAAGGTAAACTTTGCATTGTCTTGAAAATACACCATAGTCTAAATGACCATTTTAAGGATGTTGTCTTAGATACTTGAGAGCAAAAATATACTGCTTTTTCATAAAGGAAGTTTATGATGAAAGAGACATTGAATGATTTGACTGCAAATAATGTGTGGATTCCACTTTATTGTGATCTGAGAAAAAATCCTGAGACTACTTACTTAAAGTATGTAGTATAATGGTAGCTTCAGCAATAAGTTAAATGCTAAGCCTTGCGAGTTGTCGTCTTTGTATAAAAAATGCATATTTCAGGGCTAATTTCTACTTAAATCTGTTTTGTAAAATCTCTATAGATGAAAAAATAATAATAAAATATCTATAGTAATCTATTATCAACAATATAATAACATAAATAAGTACTACTATTAACAATATTAAAATTATTATAATAATAATGAAGACTACCTTGAAGTAAAAGATCACTGATGAGTGGAAATGCTTTCTAAGGAAGATTATATTCATAAAAGTAGAAAATTTTCAATGTATTCTTATTCTAATTTTTATTTTCTTATTCAGAAAATAAATGCTAAGCTTCATGATGGAGTGTGTCAGCATTGCAAAGGTATCTTGGAGTGGCGGGTAAAATTCAGCAAGTACAAACTACTATCAAAACCTAAAAAATGGTGAGTTAAGATACTTTGTGTTAATCACTGATAGTGTAGTTTGTGAATTTTTTTTTAAATATTCTAGTTTTGGAAACTCACAAGTAGTAGCTGCTACTATATGACATTCTTCAGATTTGGAGTCTGCAGTGACAACATATATATGCAATGTTGATTTTCTAATTTGTTAGTCTTTTATCTTAAACTTTTGAAAAGAAAATACAGTCGAAAAGCAACTGCTTCCCTCTTCACTGTTAAAATGCTTGAACTGTGGACCTGTAAGCTTCCAAAACTGTCAGTGTGGCCTCCTGAACAAAAAGTCAAACCTGAACCAGTTGTAACACGGTTTTCTAAGGCCTCATTGCAAGTCAATACTAGAGGAATCTGCTCATCTCTTAACTTTTGTTGTTCACAAAGATTAGTAGAGAAATGAGGAGAGGAAGGCTTTAATTTTGTGTCATATCAAAACTCATCAGGAACACTGTTCTCAGCATTACTGAGGCCTCAATGCCTACAAAATGTTTGCAATACATACATTTCATTACCTCTTAGCATGTTCTCTCTTTTTGTATATGAAACTATAATCCTAAATATTGAATGTTTAGCATTGTTTGCATACAGTTCTGTATTAGGTGGTTTTCGATAAGTACATAATAAAGGTGATAAATACCTTAAAATAATTTATAGGTTCATGATATGTTAATTTTCTGAAATGGATACTCTCTGCTTCCTTCTTACTTGCTCAGCTGCAGAAGTCCTTACCTCTGTGGCTGCAGATACAGCCAGTGTTTCAACAATGAAACGTTGAACTCAAAGAAACTACATCTGGACTGTGGTGTATGATATAGCCAGCTTTGTCACAATAGTTTGTTCTGTGTTTGTGTGTTGTTCTCAGTTACATACTTCTGAAATACTTACAAACTGCTTGGAGAGGTTCTGTATGTGTGCAGTTCCCTGAACGATGGTGTATTTTATTTTGATTTTCAGTAGGTTAAAAGGGAAGGAATGTTTGTTCATACTATATCCCCCTCTTGTAAGAAGTTTTACTTTTTAATGTGAAACCATAGGCAACAAATATTTTGGTTTTAGTAAACAATTTCACCCTTTCATGTAAAAAAAAAAAAATTATTAGGTAGAAGTCTCTCTGCTTCTCAAAGTAAACATTCTGGGTTCTATTCACCATGGACAAAGTTGGAATTTGTCTTTTTTTAACTCTTTCTCAAATGACTATGTGCATCCTGTTTAAAAGTAATGAGCTGTAACAAATAACACCTGCAGGTATTTAAAAGATGGGTACATGTGGTGCTTAGGGACATGGTTTAGTGGTGGACTTGGCAGTGCTAGGTTAACAGTTGGACTCCATGATGTCCTTTCCAACCTAAACAATTCTGTGATTCTATGATTCTAAATCATGTGGTAGTGGATCTGGTTCTTTTGCCTCTTCTCTGCCTAACCCCAAACAAAAAAAAGCAGGCAAAAAAGCATGTAAATCTGAGAAGCGTTGGAAATCGAAAAAAGTGGCATTGTGGGACAGCTGCTTATGACAGAATATGTGATGTTTTCCGTCATATTTTTGAAGAAGTCAATTGGGCTGCAGAGTGTTCTGGCTCTACAGGTAACGGTTTCTAGCCCAGCCTGCAGCTGTACAATGGCTGAGTGGGCCGCTGTTCTGAAAGGACAAGACTATGAAGATTTTCAATGGGTGAAGCTTCTAGGTGAAGTAAACACATTATAGACACTAAAAATGTGACTATATGGAAAAAAAAGGAGTTCTTCATGTCACAGACGATGGGAATGGAGGAATTCTCTGTGCTTCAACTTATTTTTTGTTTTTTAACATCTTCAAAATTACGATTGTTAGTACAACCCAAATTATCCCTACTTTACTTTTATTTTGAATATTTAATTCTTACAAATTAAACTATTTAAAAAAAAGTCTATCCACCTTGCATTGATAGTGCCTCTGTTTTGTGTGACATGGCTGGGAAGAACTGTAGACATTTTTTTAATGCTAATGCAATTGAACATAGAAGAAAGAAAAAAAAAAACCCTCAGGCTAAGTAGGTATTCCCAGTGACATCTAACTGTAGGTTTTTCCTGGGGGAGAGAGAAGACCAGAAACACTAGGCAGTTCAGACTTTGCTTTTTTCAAATGTATCCTACAGCAATTCTTGTGATTTTACAGCTTCTTAATGAATTGGATACATGCATCTTAATAATGAAAGCTCAGCAGAGCCTAGATGAAGATAGTAGGGAGAAGGCGATAGTGCTTAAGAATGGGATGTGAAAAAGTAAAAACTTCTGTTTCACTAGATGCTAGTTAGTGCATCGCTCCTTATAAGGCATGCAAAAACACTTGATATTTTTCTTCAGCCTGTTTTAGCCAAGTCTGTAAATCCACTATTCAGAACTGTATGATGAATCTTTCCTGAGAACTTTTTGAGTGCCTGAGGAACCAAGAAAGAGTGACTTTTAGGACAGCTGCATTGCATGGGCTATATAGTTCTCGGTTCTGTTCTCCAAAAATACAAGGCTTTAAAAATGTCAGCTAAATGTTAAGCCATAGCATTTTAGAAATGACTTAATCTACAGAGTTTTATCATATCTTGAAAAAGAAAGCCAAAAACCTCTACATAATTAGGTTGGGTTTGTTCAGAATACAGTTCCCTGCAGGCTTGTGTTCATAGAAATACTCTTCAGAATTTCAAGAGCAAGACATTGTAGTGTCTGAATTGAAAGCTTTTCATTTGTAAAATGCATGCACCTTTTTATGACATATTTTTATTTTCTTTTATCGTTAAACCAGAAGAAGTTATGTAGCTTTTAAAGTAAAGCTACCTACTGAAATTAATGGAAAGGTTTCTTTTGTCAATGTAAATATAAAAATTCTTGATTTTATGTTTATCCTTCAGTTCTTGTTTTAGTAATTCTTCCTGAAAAAGTTAAAGGAGAGGGAAGACAGGCAATAATTTTGATAGTGCTGCTTGTTAAAACACCAGTTGTTTCATATGAAACTGGCCTATAACATGTTGTTCCTCTTTTGAAGAGTATGTCTATGTTGTCTTTGACCACAGAACGGTTAATAAGTGTCCACAAATATTTTTTGAATCATGTTTTCTTTCTTCTCACAGTGTGAAGTGCCTCCAGAAGACTGTAAAAGATCCTTACCATATTATTTGTCGACCGTGTGCTGGTAAGCTAGAAGTTTGTGCTAAATGTGGAAAAGAAGAAGAAATAGTAATTCCGTAAGTAGCTCATAGGTTACATAGTTTCAGTACTGCACTGTTTCTTCCCCTTTTAATAAAGCTTGTTTGGAAACTGTTGTACTTTATGCCATATTCTGAATAATCCTGACAGGAATCAGTAGAAGTCATTACCCTTACTTTCTTCTGCTGAAACTAGGGGTGAAATGCCTATTGACATTAGTGGGGCTGGGCCAAGAAAAGTCTTACTTGGCTAAGACACTTTATTTTAATACCAAAGGATAAATTGCATACCTTCCTTAGGAACAAAGCACTTCAAAATGGATTTCGGTATAGAACACCATAAAATATGCATAAGCCAATTTACTGTTTGCATTTTGTCTGTCATTTGATGATTCAGTTACTAGTGAACAGAAAAGCTAAACAAGGGCTGATACTGAGAACAGTTACAGGAATATATTTAGCAAGCTTTTGTGTTTTTTTATTCTTTTATTAGAGTTTTCTCTTTATTGAGCATCTTCAAATTAATATTGAGTATTAATTTACTAGTTTGTGACAACTGGCCAAGAGTTGCTTAGTTGGTCAAACTGTTCATATACATATATGTTTTCTTCACAGACTCTTTTTCCTTCACTGTTTTTTATATCTTTCCTATTCAATGTGAAAATAACTCTACATTATTGTCCCTCTCTTCCTCCTCCCCACCTCCCGCTCCCTTCCATCCCCAGTAGAATATTCTACCCTCCACCCCATTCTTGTTTAAAAGAAAAATAAATTCCAAAAGTGGGTGGTGATAACATCCTCTTGCTTTCTGCAGGATTGATAAAGGACAAGACAGAACTGAGACTGTAACTGCTAAAAATAGCCAAGAGAGCAGTGGATTGGAAGATGAGCTGGCTTTTCATACAAACTTCAGTAGTACAGACAGTGATGAAGATTCTGATGTGCTTGAAGAACGATTTAAAAGTATGAATTTTGAACGGGCAGACATCTAAAAGGCTGAGTTTATATGAGAGACTATATGCAATCAGAAGTGGTAAACCAATGTTTGCCTGAAACTGCTCTGAAAACCCGATTTGACACCTAAGGTCCTTGCATATAAATGTTGGCACTGTGTATTATGATGCTTTTTGGGGGTTTTGTATAAATAAATATTTTTTTGTATTAAGAGCAGAATTTCTTGTGAAAAGATTCAGAAATTGAATCTTTAAGCATAGTTATTTCTTGTATACATATAACAACTTCCTGTTTCTCTGGAATAAAGCCTCTTTGTGTAATTGTTCTAAATTCAGTATTACGCAACTGTTGTATTGCTACTTGGAAAGCTACATGAAAGTCTAGAATAAATACAGAGTCTTGTCATAAAAAGGAAGAGCTAAACCAGCTGTAATAGTTTGCTAAAGGAAGAACTTGCAACTTTGTCAATGAGTTTGCAAAGAGGGTCAAAATGCCAAGCAGTCATTACTCTTACGACTGTTGTTTCTTTTCTGGGCAAAAAAGAGGGCCTAAATGCCATCACTGATGCTGTTCATGAGCAGTTAATGCTTTCTTACCATATATAAGCATGCATTACAAATTTGTGACCTTGTTACTACCAATGTTTTGAAAAGAAAAAAACTGAAGACTTTTTAGAATTTCTCATAACAGGTCTCACAGTTTCTTTTCCTTTGACTGCAGATCTTGCTCTGATACGAAAACACTTGTGTAGTGTAGCAATGCTTATGTAGTTTCTCTCTTCCTGATTTTCAGTTCTTTCTAAGGATTATTCAATGTAGATTAAGCTCTACAAAGAACATAACTGAATTTGCAGTAACTATCTTTTACAGTATTCAGGATGGTTTGATTTCTTCTGTATTGTCTGTTACCTCTATAAATAAAGCTGAAGAAGTACTTCATACTAATTAAATGGTTTAACCTGTGACAAGATACCATGCCGTTTATACTACCACATTAACAGCTACACATCTGTTTTGGTGTTCTGCCTGATTTGCAGTAGTGGGCACGGAAAAGTTTGATTCCCAAACTACCTTCTTCAAATGAATTGTGAGGGACTTCAGCTCTGGGATTATTTCCTGCTGCCTCAGTGGGAAAAATACTGAAACTTTATCCTTTGGGTAGAGATAGCCACCCTGTGGCTGCTGTAGTTGACCTAAGCCTTAACGAAAATCTAGTTACCAAGATGTAGAGTACTAAGACATTCAGCAGTCCATAGCCTAGAAACTGTTATGATTTAAAAGACAACTTTATTATTTAGTAATGACAGTAACGGGCAACAGCAAAATTCTTGTAATCAGTCATGAAACAGTGAGCTCTTAGTGTGTTTTCTTAACTGTGTAGGTGCTTGTCACTACACATAAGGCCTTAAGAATAAGCTTTTTCTTTTATTATGTTTTATTTATTTAGATTTGTCTTTCACTTTTGTATTGTACTTTAAAACACCTTTTTACCTTTTCTAAACTATTTGTAAGTTTGTATCTTAATATCTACAACATGCTTTTGTACTAATCTCTAAGGATTAGTAATCTGCTTGGTTGGTTGTTTTTTGTTTTTTGGTTTTTTTTTCTGTGTTTTTCCTTTTCCGTGCCGCCTTTCTGCTGTTGAATAATCTGATTCCCTAAGATTATTTCTTCTGTCCCATGTAGATCTTTTGCACAGATAGATTTTTGCTAAGTGTTTTGTGATAACCACTAGTGGTAAACTATTGGAAAACATTCTACTGGTCTTCTCTGTTCCCATGATGCATTGTGACTTTTGTGGCTTTTCAGTGAGACAAAGTCTAAAGTTTACGAAGTGTTTGGGTGGTATTCTGTTTCCTTCTGGGGTTGCTTATTACATAGTTGTTTGCAGTCATAAAGGACTAGGATTGATGACCCAAACAACCCATCTCCTTTCTCCACCCACTCTATAAACATGTTGTTTATAAGCTAAACCACTAGTTTTGTGATTGTACATACTGGTTCTTTCACTTAACTGCAACTAATAAAAACCAAGAAGTTCAGAAGTTTAAAATTTGTAGAAGGGCAATGGTTTGTCTTGGAAGAGTCAATGAAGCTGCAGAACACCAGGAGGTGCTTAGTGGCTGAAAAGGAGGTTGTCTGGTGTGTTTAGAAATGACTGGAAATTGGTCTGAAGGTCATGTTGCATTGACAGGTAAGTCCTCCCAACAGGACAGCAGTGACGTCTGACTTAGTGTGACATCGCCCGTTTTCCTGTCAGTTGACGTTGGTGAAGACAGAGTGAACAACACACTGCAGATAGATACCGGGCAGGGGGGTAGAGGGGAGTTAATAAGTGATCTGGAGTTAGCTTCAGAAAGGGTCTCTCTGGAGGGGAAACCATGACTGTCATCAAAAGTGAACTTGGCTTTTTGAAAGTGACATACGTATGGGAAATGTTCTTCCACTTGGAAAAATTAGGTAATAGCCTAGCCCTTTGCCCAAAGGTGAGAGGAAATCCTGAAGTGACAGGAAAATGTGTCATGGAACTGGCAGGAGCTATATAATGAGAAAATAAGGGGAACGGCTCTCTTCTCAAAGTGGTGACACAACCTGTCTGTACTGGGGAAGAGCAGTGTCACGCAGATCGGCAACGTGTAACCACGAAACACAAGTGTTAGGGAAAGTCCTCTGAAGTTAGCATCTTCATGTCACACAACTAATGCTCTGTTTGGAGTTGAGGTGATACTACAGTTGATGAAACTTTGCTGTGAGTGAGCACAGCTGCAGTGGTGGCTACTTGGTATTAGTCCAACCTCTCTGAAGACAGCCTTTGATTCTGGCAAGCGTTCCATCTTTGGTTGCAACTGCTGTTAAAACGTATACTGCTGGAAATGACTGCTGCAAGTAAAACTGTGTACGATGGTGGTTGTGAGTCAGCTTGCAAAATTGCTAACTTGGAGTTGGGGCACATTTGCTATTATAGGGAAAAGGAGTTTGTGTTTTACTGAAGACACCTCTAACCGCGAATACAAGGAACAATTTTAGTTTTCTTGTTTAATTTCAAGTGAAGTTAGAACATATGTGGAATTACAGTAAGATATTTTTCTAAGACTTTTAAGTAATAGTTCTGAATTTCAAGGGAGTTTTTTGTGAAGAACTTTTTGAACAGAGGATTATGCAGGGACAGAATGCCTTTAAACCCTGATTTTCAGTAAAATCCTATATAGATGAGAAAATAAAAAAAAAAGGAAGGAGATGAAAAATAATCAAAGAGATTTCTAAGATGATCTTTAGGGTAGTTGCATATTTAGAGTTTTTAATTGAGATTTTGAAAGGTTTCTACCTCTTCTTTCACAAAGAATAACGAATTTGTGTTCGTAAACTTCAAAAAGGGGAAATAATAATACCACCATGCCTGCAGGGTATTGGGATGGAGTTTAAATGATCTACCTAGGATGACTGATTGGGAGTTTCAGGAATTTAACTGAACCTTGTGAGTCCTTACTGGATACATTACTGAAGAAGAAAATGATAGATGTTAATAATTAGTCATCTGAAGAATAAAAGAGATGCAGTGATGCTGCTGACACAGTTGGATTCCTGTTAACTGATTGTCCTTAGGAATGTTACTAATTCTCATTTAGCGTGACTGAACCCTGACAGTAATTAGATAATGGACTGTCAGCAGGCATGCAAGATGATTCTAACTTCACAAGGGGAAATGCTTATCATAGGCTTGAGCTGTCAGAACTTGTCATTGCTGACTTGTACATGTTTCCGGAAAACCAAATTCCCATATATAAGGATTTCTTAGGACAATCTGGATTCACTGCAGTATGAGGAGAGTTCAGTATGGACACAGTGCTGCCTCCTAGCATAACTCCTCAACAATCTTCTCTGCCAAAGTTCGCAGGCATCTCTGAGACATCCTATCATCAAATGTTTTGAAGTATCAGGCAATACAAAAAGCATTGCCCAATGATTTACTTCTAGTTTTGCATGGGCTAGGCTCTTCTATTCTTGGCTTGGCTACTGATGAATCTGTATTCCTCTAACTTACTAAAATAATACCAGCCTCTGAAAGTTCATAACCTAGTGGTTAATTAGGAAAAGGATGGCTTGTTTTCTCCCTATAATGGGCATGTACTTGGATACTGAGATGCAAAGCATAGCATTAGCAAGGAAAATAGAGGAAAATATAGCAGGTAATCAAATGTGATCCACCTTGTAACCCTCTTGCCCTACAATTATATGTGTTTTCTTTGTTCAGGAGTTCTTACAAGTAAACGAATGTTGGCAGAAAATGCAATATTACCTCTGCTTATAGGAAGCATCAGGCTGACTTACAGAGTTCATGAGGAAAGGTTTGCGAGTAGCATGGAGACACATTCTTAATAATCAGATGTTTAGGGAGCTGGCCATGCACACTGTCGGCATCTGTTTCACTTCATTCTTCTGCCTACATTTTATCTGAAAGCTGTTAAAAGACAAAACTGTACACGAAAAAGAAAGTATGTGCTCTGCATACATGCTGTCATCACATACTGTGAGAACGTAAGGTAGGATTCCTAAACCTCAAAACAGTTGAAAGCACACTATTATTTGAAGTGAGGTAGATCTGTCTAGGAACTGATAAAACGTTCTCAGACAAATCACCTGTAACAGACTAGAAATGAAATACTTTCCTGCT